TGTTCACGCAGCGCACCTCGAGCCTTTTTTATATTTTCCCTCTCCAGTTACCCTGGAGAGGCGGAAATTTATTTGACTTTCGGAATACATTATTTTCAACTGCAGCCGATTTGGCTTCTGCAGTTAGGGAGGGCCTTTTTTACTTACAGACTAAACTATTTTACTACTAAAAAAACTAAAACTATCTTATAACAATACATTCCCACTTTGGGGTTTGTTAGTTTTTAGACTTATTTAATTATTTAAATTGGAGTTCTTTGAATTGTTCTATATTCTTCTTTTATTTTGTTTTCACTCGCACCTCGTGTCGGAAACACTCAGTAATAATGTAGCGAAAAATTATGATTTGTTTGAAAGTACTACCTCCCAAAAAATGTGTAAGAAAATTTATAGAATAAAAAATATTTGGGACAGTAGTAAAATATGTAAAACATGTAATATAGTGCTAAAAATGTAAAAACATGTAACGAAAAAATTGGATATTGTGTTAGGAAGGCGACGGTTAGGAAGGCTAACAGAAAATAGGGAGACAAAAAAACGTAATTTCACAAAAATCCGGTCTCTAGTGATGGCTGATGTGTTAGTGGGGAAGAAATTACAATAATAATACGTACCCTTTCCAACACTGTGAAACAGTATTTGCTGTCGCACCGCTCCTAGTTACTTCCTCGCCCTTACGAAGGTGCTTCGTAAGAAGAGAAAGTTATTTAATCGTACGCCGGAAAACGGGGAATTTTCGAGCGAAAAAGTCTTATTGCTGGACGCTGGTAGCAAAAAAGGTGGATAAATACTGTTTGCTAAGTAGAGAAAAAAAATATTTCAACAGGTGGTGTAGCCAGAACCCATGTTTTGAGGGTCCTTGATACCGAAAAATCGATTGACGGCAAAATGTGTCTGTCCGTCAGTGGTCAATACTAACGCCTAAATCGTTCAGTCGATTTTCTCCAAAATTGATATTCCCCCTTTGATCGAAACGAACTCAATGCATTGGGAGTAAACAGGATGTATTGCTTTCTTCGGGTACTTAACATGAACACTGAAAAAAACTTTCTCAAAAACGGCTCCGACTTTTTGGTTTAAACCCTCGGAAAAAGTCGCTTTAGAGAATGGTGCTAATTTCATGGTCGTTTGAAATCCCTTACTTTCGAAATTTGCAAAACTGTAATTTTTGGGAGTGTCCTACTACTATTATATTGAAGAGAGATATTTTGTCTTTAATCAAATTTGTTCCTTAAAGGGAGATCTCGAAATAATATATAAAAATAAGTTAAAATAATTTTTTTTCAAAAAAATTATCTATTTGTTTGTCTAAAACGGCACTAAATTTTTCTTTACTTTTTTCCTCGTATGTAACAAGGAACTTAATGTGCTATACCTTTTTCGGCGAACTCTGCGAATTTTCGAATATTGCAAGAAGTTTACATATCAAAATTACAAAATTGAAAATACAGATTTTTACCGTAGAGAAAGTCAGTTCCAAAATCATCTCTTTAAAAAAAGTCACGTACATGTTTTTGAAAAAAAACGAGTAGTTTTTGCATAATTTTTGCTTGAAATTAATAAAATTTTTCATAAAAAACGACTTCTCAAAAACCGCTTCTAATTTTTCCGCCACTGATAGAAAAAGGGACACTTAAAATAATGGTGCGTTTTCATTTTCGTTGAACTCGTCGGTAGCTGCGTTTAATTTTCAATAATTGCAAATGTAGAGAAAGCAAGCTTGTAAAATACGAGAAAGTATGTGGCGTTGCAGCACCACCAGTTTGAGAATGAGTCACTGAGATATACTCGATTTAAACATAGTGTTTCTCCAGTCACATGGATTGTAAGGAGAGGAAGACGCTGTCATCTATTCGGGAGCTTCTAAAAATTCAAAGAACTTTCAAAAATTCCAAAAATTGAAGTCGAAACGATGCTTTGAATTGTATTTTAGCGTATCCCTCACTTGCCAGTTTGTGAAGAGTCACTTTGTTTAAATCTGAATTTAGATGAATTTTGCTCATAAATCTCGAAGTTCAATGGAAAATGGAAAGAGGTAAATGGTATGGAAATTGAAAATGAACTTATATGAAGATACATCTTTAAGGAACAGATACCATGAAGGATAATAATTATTATAGTATTATAGTAATTTAATAAATAATAATTATCTTCAGTATTATCGATGTAGGAAGACGCCAAAAAATTACACTTTTGCAATTTTCAAAAAAATATGGGTTTCAAGAACATAAGACTTGCACCATTCTCTAAAGCATCCTGTACGCTATTCAAAGACAAAGTTTGATGTATAAATTTGCCCCATTTTTTAGAAAATTTTGAAAATATTTTTGAGGCTTCATGTAAAATATTAAATAATCAGTTTGCAATACCTAAAGCCTTGAGTTCATTCAGATCGCCTGGGGAATTTCCTCTAACATTACGTGTTAGAGGAAATAATTTACTATACACAGCAACAGGATTTATTCACTTTTTCGTTAACAAGGCCCGATAATAAGAGCCGTTTTTGCCGAAAAATCCTGGTTTCCCGGTGTTCGGATTACGAAACGTTCTCTTGTTACAAAGTGCGAGAAAGTAAAAAGCAGAACTCAGACTGAATGTTTAAAGCGATTGGTAACGTATTGGGTTCTTAAATTCAAGTTTAAGGGTTCAGATCGAACTGAAGCCGTGAAATTTTAAGTGTAAAACAATGCAATGTTCGCCTTCCTTTGGAGGGGAACTAAAGCCGATTGTTTCATATTGTAGGTTTACTGCATGTTAGAGATACTCAAGCCTAAAAGCACCCTCTGAGTTAAAAATAATTCTCCAGTTTCGCCTCCCACTATATGGTGTAAATAGCGAGAATTGCGTGGTCAGACAGACAGACAGACAGATATTTTGCTGTCAATCGTTTAGCCATGGGCCCACAAAACATGGTTTCTACACAACGTGCTAGAGGAAGTAATTTACTGTATATAAGAACAAGATTTATCCACTTTTTAATTAGCAGGGCCCGGCAATAAGAGTTTTTTCTGTTAGAGATTTAGTATTTTCCAGCGCACGATTGCAATACATTCTCTTACAAAATTTTACTTACAAAGTCAGGGCGAGAACGTAACTAGTGATGCTACAAACGCACTTACTTTCTCAATTCATTTTTAAAATTGCAATTTTCGAAAATTTAAAGAGTTTAACGAAAATGAGACCTATGTTATACTTTATGCGTTCCTTGTTCTAAGCGTAAAAATGTTTTTTTTAATAAATTTCATTAATTTTAATCACAAATTCCCGAAAAGGTACTCTTTTTTTGAAAAGCTACTCTTTTTTTGTTTATAAGCTTTTTTAAAAAGCTGATTTTTTAGAACAAACTTTGTTGAAGGCAAAAATCTCTATCTTTAGTTTTGTAATTTTAAAAATGTTAATACTTTTCGTTTTGAAAATACAGTGTTCGCTGGAAATGAGACTAGCCAAGATATTTTACCAACCTTTGATATTTTATTTTATTTTATTTAAAGGCCAAATTTTGTAGAGGTTTTGAGAAAAAAAGTTTAAGAAATAAATATTGCCTATATTTCACCCAAAATTACGCGTAAAATATTCATATTTTTGAAAAAATGTACCTGACCTAATTCGAAGATCGGTCTTTAAAGGATAAATTTCACCCAAGAAAAAGTCTCTACATTCACTATTGTAGTAGTAGAAGGACGCCGAAAAAAAACGACGTGTCTCCTAACTCGAATGGTAGCGTTGAAGGAGAGAAATTGCAGTAATCAAATATTTCATAAACGTTACAAATTAAGAAAATACTTCCTGTTTTGGCATCAATATTTCGATATCCAGAACCCACAAAACGTTGATTTCTCTCTCTACATAGCGTGTTAACGGAAGTATTTTAATTTTTGGAGAAAACAAATTTATGAACTCTTTTGTTAGGAGTTCCCCACTTTCCAAGGTTTTCTGCCCAAAATCGCCGTTAAAATTTCGTTTTTTTAAAAGGGTCAAAAAGTTTTTTTAACATTTTAAATGAGAGTTTTTCTGTGATATTCATGAAATTTCTTATCAATTAGATTCGCTTAGTGATTTGAAAGATGAGGAAATGTGATAAAATGTACTGTTATTAAAAATCTCAGAACCTTGAAGATAAGTGAAAACTAAAGCCTTGCGGTAATTCGGAAGATCTGTTCATACTATATTCTGCAAGATTTTCAAAACATAAAATGAATTCTTTTTGAGGAATTTGGTCATAGCATAGAGCAACAGATTCCATTCATTTCCAAAAGCTCGCTGCCACCTACCCAGCACCCAGCACGTTTTTCACTTTTCATATATATCCGACCATGTTGTGAAAGTTTTTAAGTGATCCACGTTGTTTTTGCAAGGCCCACTGAAGAGGGAAAATGTGTTTTCCCGCAAGTTGTCTCTGGGAATGTAATAATTCATAAAAATATGCTTTGAATATGGACGATTATTTCCTTTCTCACATTCCTTCCTCTCATCTCCCACGGAGTTGCATACACAAATTGAAATGACGCCATAGCTGCATTTTCTCTTCTTAGAAACCACAACGGACTCTCTAAACATTCTTGTTAACGTGGCACATGAGCACAATATCTTCTTGGACTTAATTTTGTATAAACAAATGCGACGCAAGCGGAATATGTAATGATACATTTAATATTGTCGACGGCATTTTATGCTGACAAGTTATTGTCATAAAAGGGACATTTTAGCGTCCCGTGCTCCTGTCAGAAAATACGGGACAAGAACTCAAAATAAAGGACTTTCCCGGCTAACACGGGGCGTCTGGTCACGTTAGTTGTTGTCGGTAAGAGATGGTAAAGTAACGAAGCCGTTTGTGGGCGAAGCATTTGAATTTGCCTGGAGCCGGGTGCGGAGGGGGGTGGGCGGGGCCGGCCAATGGCCCGCCGGCTGCGCGTGACGTCACGTTCACCGGCGCGCGGCGCGGTGCGGCGAGCAGCGGGCTGGGCCGGGGCAGCACGGCGCGGCAGGCGGGCGGGCAGGCCAGTCAGTCAGTCAGCCAGCTGGGAGGAGGACGCGTCGGCTGTCGGGGCGTGAGCGTGATTGGGGCGAGTGGTCGCCAGTGCTGGTGGGGGAGTTCCGAGTGTTAAGCGTGCCGCCATGCTCCGTCGCGATGCTCTGTCGTCGTGGTTGTGCGTGTGGCTGTGGCTGTGGCTGACGGCGGCGTGGCCCGGCGCCGCCGCGGCGCGCGCGCCCAGCATCGCCGAGCGGCTGCGGGACGACCCCGACCTGTCGCAGGTAGGAGCTGCAGGAGGCCTTGCTCGCTGGGGCAGGTGGGCGTCGGCGGGGGCCAGGGGGAGCGGGAGGGGCGAGGGGGCGCCATGTTGGCAGCGCTTCCGTTGCCTCCGCGCCGCCCGCGCCGCCCGCTCCGCCCGCTCCGCCCGCTGCTGCTGTGGATCGATGTTCGACGGCCGAGGGAGCCTCTTCTATGCGCCTCCTCACCGCTCGAACTAGGTCACATCATCTGCCTTTATTTATTTCAATACACGCCATCACGCGCACTTAACACACACAGACAGCGAAAAAAGACATCGTGAACAAAGAGCGCTTTAACACAAACCACAATATCACTCATTTTCTCGCATCAAACTACCATTCATATTTTATTATGTGTCTCAATTTATGCTTAAGATCGTAGTAACAATCTTACAACCAGTCGAATCTCTACGCAGTGGCTCATTTACAGACAATTTAAACTTTAGACTGCAGGGCAGAGGTAAATGGAGTTACCTTTGTCTCTCTCGCGTGGTCGTTGTCCCAAAAGGGTCATCGTAAATTACGTAACGCTAAAGAAGAGAATAGGGGGCTGAGGTAGCGCTACGCTACGTTACCTAGGGGTAGGGGGGTCATAGATTAGTGTTACGTAATGCTGAAATTTATTTCTAAAATGTTTCAGTATCTATTGACAAAAATCCATTTCTTTGGTCTTAAACTAAACATTAAAATATTAACGAATTAAATTAAAAATATATAAAATAAAAAAAGTTCGGATGAATAAATTGTAACAATAAATTTAAAAAAAATGTTTTTCATCAATGACATGTACGTTGAATTAGTTACATTACGAAGAAAAGATTAAAAATTTATCTAAATTACCTTCTAGAATCCAATGCAGTAAGCGCAAGACCTATGCGTCATCCACGACATGTGCACTGCCTCTTGTCAGAAATTTTTCTCTCCTTAGCATCCTTTCGTCGTTTAGAAACTGTTCCCAATCTGATTGTTAGATGCAGTCCGTATAGCAGACTAACTGAGACTTACTTTACTATAAATTTTAATATATAACACGACAAGAACGCAACTCTTTCAAATGTACTTTTACTTCTTGCAAAAGGGGTCTTGCCGCAAGCGTTAACCAATTAGGGGAGTTCAAGCGCACGTACTGGTGGGTTACAGGAGGGGAGGGGGTATTAAAAAAGCTCCAAATTCAAGTTGCATAATTCATGGACGGCCGCAAATTACTCTGCTTGTCCCATTTGTCGCCATTCATGAAGAACAATGAAAAGTTCGTAATTTTTGTAACTCACCGATGTGACTGGTAGAATGCTACGAAAACTACCATATAACGTATTTTGCAGATTGACAATCATAAAGTATTTCAATAAAATATTGCATATTCTTACCAACGGTTGCTATTGGTCATCGTCATTTTTAGCATAGCACATTGTTTGAACAGCATTTCCTATGAAAATGAAATTATGTGCTTGTTTCTTTGGACTATGGACATATTCTCTGTAAACTTTCAAATGCATAGCATTAGTAATAATGAATATAAATTTGATTAAACCACATAGAATTTCATCGATGAAACATGAAAATGGCAGCATGCAAGAAACCTTTTCCCCTTTGAGTTAACCTTTAGAGTACAAGAGAGAAAAATTTAGAAAATACTTTGAACTTAACATCTCTGGGAGTTTGTTTGCAAGTCAATTTACCACTCGGTTTTCTTCAGTTGCATATTTGTGCTAGACTGCAGCGACGCAGTTCGGGACGTCGACACTTCCAGCCTCCCTGGGCGGCTGTTGGAATTGTGTTTTAATAACATATTATGTTATTAGACCATGTCCGTTGGCAGCGGACGAAGGGTCGAAACGTTCTGTTACGAAATGGCTGGAATGCCATTTTTTTCTTTTGAAACTGGTTTGTAACTACCAAAATTACTATGTACCACAACGCACTCGTGTCTCGTGGTTGAAGTTGCAGTATTTGAACTCGGGTTGTTGTTCTGGTCGAGAGGTGCCGGACAATGCGTTAGATTGCGTAATAGTTCTCTTGTAAATCTTGTGAAAATAATTAGGAAACTACTTACTTTAACTACTGAAATAATGAATTATTGAATAGATGATTTTAAACGGGTGGAGGAAACTGTTGTGAATTGACAGACAGACATGGTGAGAACGGCAAATGGTTTTATGTGCTTTCGAAGAAGTCTTTAAAAAAACATGCACTTCACCAACGAAATGAAGGAAATATTACAAGTTGCTGGATGCTGGCACGGTAACTGTGATATACTGTACTTCTTTCCTCACATCATTTTTGGGTAATTAATGTGTGTCAGCGATCTCATTTGCGTGTCTGATTATCACTTATGACAGTTGCTTCTACTGGGATTTGAGTGATTGTAAGCGCAATTATCATATATGAATAATTTGTATCAGTGAGATACGCAGCCGTTGGTTTTATAGTTTTCTTTAATCTGTGTGAACTTCAATCAGATAAACTGGCATCGGTGGCTCAGGGAATCAAGAGATGTCACTGCAGTGCCTCTGACCGCGAGGTCCTAGGGTTCGAGCCTTGACGTCGTCAGGATTTGCGACACTAGCTAGACGGCTAAGTCGAATTCAGACGCTGTCGCTGCTGCTCTGATCGGTAGTTTTACGTCCTTTTTTGTTCAACACCAGGCGAATGCCGTAGCAGCATCCACGAAACGGACCATGGACCGCGCGAGTTCGTTCCTTCCTCGTCTTAACCTCACCTTTACTTACACACACGGGCCCGACTGCTTGCGTAATTTCTGGCTAAAGAAATTCACTGGAATCCATAAACGTCTTATTGCGGTTCTACTTACTACACTGGTATATTGGACCACTCCAGAACTCTCCGAATGGGAGAGATGGTTCAGGGCATCTACTGATGTCACTGTGGTACGAGAGGTCCTAGGTTCGAGTCCTGGCGGTGGCAGTATTTTCGACATTTTCAGGTCGAATTCAGGCGGTGTCCGGAAGAGAATTCTAGCAGCCGACTGCTCTGATCGGTAGTTTTATGTGGATCGGTAGTCTCCGATCAACACTAGGCGAATGTCGGAGCAGTTCCCTACCAAAAATACTACGGTCCGCGGGCGGTCCTTCTTATCTCTTCCTTGTCCTATCCGCTCCCCTTTCACACACTCTTACATACACTGCCCGACCAGACGTGTCGGGAGACCAGTTGGGAGTTTAGAGCTTGACCTCGATGGAGAGGGGCCCCGCTCGTGGAGATACCTAGTTGGAGAAATCCCCGCATGCCGATGTGAGTCTGCGCCGGATCTTGCCATCCTGCAGGTTAAGGATCATTTCATCTCCCGTGCGCTTATTTACTGAAGTAATGCCCTTAGCATTTGTCACACCCCGAAACGCGAAATAATAAAGCAATCGAATTGTGGCTAATTGAATCATGTTCTCATGATCATCGAGGGTACATCAGTCATTGCAAGAGAAAAGTTTCCCCGTTATCGATTCCTACCCCTCAAGTCTGGTCTTCCATCGCAAGTTTAGGAGACGGAAGGATTGCTGTGGTTGATTAACGATTAAAAATATACGTACACCGCCCCGATTAGAGCATTTTGTTACTCAAAACGTTCATCACATTTTCTATCCGAATGTTCTTACCGCATCTCTCTACTGGCCAATCATAAAACTGTGACTCATCTATCTTAGGATGCGGAATACATCAATCATTATATCGATGTCCAATAAATCACCTATGTGCTATAACATAATCAATTCTTTGATTTTATCATGGCCTTGTTATTTTCAATATGTGTCGCATTTTAGAGCTCTTACACAGAATTTCATTCGTGAAATAGTCCCATTAAATGCGACTCCTATTTTGGAATTTCTCAGAGAAATCTCGTTTCGTGAGTCGGGGACTTATCGACAATTTCTAAAGCATTCGTGATATTACCTATGATAAACAATACCATTATCATTCTCTTTTAATTCTTGACTGCTTTGGAATATATTTCATCAATATATTACGGTATGAGGCGTCTTCGTTGCAAAAATGTCTTCTATTAACATATATTGTATTCATATGTCACAATAATTCATATTTGTGAGTTTATGAGAAGTATTGGGTCAGTTGAGTGATTAAATGTTATTTATCGCATTAAAATGCCCGAAACCGTGGTCACCTTGCGGCAAGTGAGGGCGGAAATCAGGCTACACTGTTGACTATTTACGCCATGAAGTTATTAACTTAATGTACTTAAGGGGCAGTTTTAAAAATATTGATTTTGTTTCTTGAAGATGTGTAAATGACGTGGCCTTTCTCATCAATGTAGTGGAATATTAAGATGAATCTCATTTCAAGAGTTCGTTAGAGACATTTCGCAGAAGGATCCTTTAGTTTTTATTGGAGATACCATGGACATAAATTCATATCAACATTGTAGTATTGATAGCCGAAAATAAAGTGCATATTTTTTACAACTTTCCTAAAGACATTACCCATCACACCGTATTTCCTCATTTGCTCTCCAACTTCATCTGGCGACGTTTTTGTGTTTTTCGTAAACGGGAACATATGAACTGAAAAATAGAGAAAATGTGAAAAAAATGCAGATTGGGCGGCGGTAGATGGCAGCTGGGAAGAGGGTACGGTTGAACCGAAAAGGTGGCCTAGGCGAAAGAAATTAGAAAACTAACTAGTACGAGAAAATCTGTGCCATTCTCTATCACAGTAGTTGTAGGTTAGAGTTGTAAAGGTAGTTGAAATTTTGCAATGTGTGTTAATATATCAGCTTTAAAAGAATTAGTTTGGGCACCTAATCTACGGTGTGTAATGAGTTTTACAAAAAGTGATTTCCGTCCATATATAAATATGGACGGAAATTGCGGTATAATTATTTTAAGTTATCTAACCGTTAGTGAGGGCAAGAAATGCCGCGTTGTTTTAGCTCCAGTTTTCTAGTTTTCCTCTAATGGGGCAAATCGCGCCTGCAGAAATAGCTCATGTCATATTTTCGTTGCCCTCCCTGA